GTCTGTTGGAAATACAGGTTTTGTGAAGAAATTAACCTTTCATCAAAATACATTGTTTTCACGATTTCTAAAAATTATATATTTTGACATGGGAAAAACTTTATTTCTTCATAAACCCTTTATTTTCGTATCGCTGTTGCCTTCTCGACATAGCTTCTCGTCTTTTTGCGAGTATAAAAGCCCTGGAAATGAACATAGCTCAAAATAAGGTATTTTTACAATGTATTTTGCCCACCCCTGTTGTTTTTTAAAGTAAAAATTTATTTCCTCTTAATCAGTTTAATTCAAAATGTGTTTGACACTCAGAGACACAGCGAATGAGGAATCTTCTATATTTTGGACAATTAAAATTCACCAAAACTTTTTTTTGGTGTCAAACTTGCTTTCTTGAAAACTTTTAAGCACGTTCAATAAATTCATCCTCCCGCAAAAATTTGTTTAAAAATTTTGTCAATACGATTAGTTTAAAAGCCGGAAATAATTATTTTATTTTGTACGAAAAGCAGTTGGTCAGATTAGGTTATAAAACTCTTGCATACCAAAGGAGTTTCGACCAGACAAAAATATAAAAGTTTTTCTTCAAAACGTGTCCCCTTAAATGTTTACCTATATAAATATGCCAAGATGGTTTTAACATGATAAATTTTTTACACAATTTTTTAAAAGTAAAGCATTTAACAAAGACTAAAAGTTTATCTCTTTCTTTATTTTTTTCGTCAAAATATAAAGTATTTTAAGCTGAGTTCTTCCCTCCCAGGGCTGTTTTATACCGAAAAAAGACGGAGTCATACGAGGATATAGATTTTGTGAAGAAATTAACTTTGTATCGCTATCAAAATGCTTTATTAATAAAAAACCGTGAAAATAATGTACATATTTTTGAGTTAATTTCTTCAAAAAACCTGTATTTTCGAAAAACTGTTGCCTTCTCTGCGTAGATTTCCGTTTTATTGTGTGCCCAACAGCCCGAAAATTTAAACCCTTGGAAGAACGTAGCTCAAAATAATATATTTGGTATAAAGTAATTATTTTTCCCATCTCTGTCTCAAATTTTTTTATTAGCAATCAAATCAAACCTCCCAAAATTTCGACGCACTTCTCAATTCGTTTCCAAACTTAGAACAATTCGCTCTACATTGCCACTCAATTTCCCCAAATCTCCGAAAACTTTACATATTCTATTTTGTCAACAAGAGGAGAAGGAAAACTATCTATCAAGATGGAAAAAGTAAAGAAGAAGAATTTCCATTACGAGGGGATTTTCTCGGCTCAAAAACACAAACCACTTTCACTTTCACACTTTCACAACTTGATGATGATGAAATTGTTTTTCAAATTTTTCAAATAAACCGACTTTGACACGTTTCCAACTAAAAGTTCTGCGTGGGACGTGGTAAGAATTTCAACCAGTGGCCGCGGAAGCATAGGTGGGAACAGTAGGGTAATATTCCTAGGGTTTTTCTATGTCCTACATACCTGTTCAAAAATTCAGTTTTCATTCAAAGTCAGTCATCCCGATTTCAGATTAAAGACTTTCATTCACATTCAGTCATTTCCTTTCAAATTCGATTTTAGTATCACATCACGTCGCGTTTTCTAGTTTCGTTTTCATTTGTTTCACTTTTATGATTTACGATTTCACCACGTTTCACGACATGTGGTCTGCACAGCACACCCAAGTTGTGTAAAGTTCTCTTGACCAATAGTGTTTCATTTCTTACGGGTTTGCTACATTTCCTTCACTGGAAAGCAAGAAAGGCAAGAAAATGGGAGAAAATGCACGAAATATGCGACATCTAGCCACGCGCGGTATTTACAGCGCCGGGCGTTGTTTCTTGCGCCTCGAATTTCTCCCAGGTCAAAATATTCCTCTGCAAGAAACCACTTTCTCCCCCTAATTTCTTGCACGTGATTACTCCCACCCACAATACTCTCACTCAATTAGACATAAATAGTCACATTTTTGTATAGATTTGATGCCAATTATGTAAATATGGAATATTTAGAGAAAAAAATATTCCAAGATTTTCACCTACCATGGCCAAACGGTGAGAAAAAGTGAAAATCACACATACAAAAAGTTGATTTTTCTAAATAAATTTCTCATTCGATTTAGGAAGTAAATTGTGACATTTTTGCATATGTTTGACGCCAATTGTGTAAGAATAGTATGTTTAAAGAGCAAAAATACACTAAGATGTGTTCTTCATCAGTGTGTTCTTGGCTTCCAAACGATAATCACGCATGATAAACCTGCATTTCTTGCAGGTGAAAATATTCCTCTGCAAGAAACCACTTTCTTCCCGTTATTTCTTGCAGATGGTTATTTTACTTGCATCGGAAACATTTCTCTAGACCAAAGTTCAAATTGTGTGGAAAACATGCCAGCAAAATGTAACTTCGCAGTTCAACATTTCAATGTAGAACTACATATCTTCGTCCACGCCAAAAATTACAAAAAAAACTCACAAAAAAATAAAACCTAAAAATCTTCAATTTTCATAAAATGCTACAGGACGTTTTATATTTCTTTCATATTCAAAAACTGTACGGAAAATATGCTGGCGAAAAATGCCTCAATAAGAACCTCTCTTCTTTCTCTGCTAAAAATTTGCAAATTCTTTGCCAAAAAATTGCACGTATTTAGTTTTCAGTTTAGCATTTCAACGAATATGTTTTTAATCTAAAATTACATCTACAACGACCCCAGTCTGCAAAAATTCTTCGCAAAGCTACACAGAAAACCGTCAATTGTCCCAAAATGCCCCCGGACACTTTCTAATTATGTATTTCTTTTCAATGAAACCGTATATTTTTAGCCTTTTCCCCTAAAAATTGTATCGCCCTGTTTTACATACGTACAACTTGATAAATATTCGTTAACTTTCGTACCTAAATTATGTCATAGGTCGGTCTGTCCAGCCAATCCATGGCGGCGAGATGAGGTTCGTCATCAAATATTCATTCCGTATCTGGATGTGCCATGCAAAGTGGAAGATTCCCAGCAAACGAACGAACCCCGGATCGGATTAAAATTTAATGAACTTTTCCCACTAAATTGCCCTCAAGAAGACGTATCGTCGCTCGTTACATGCAGCTCAGAAAAACCGTAGAATTGCAATTCAGGTACATATGTACCTACAAAATTCCCAACAACTTTCCCTCCTGACCTTCTCATAATGAAGAATATTTAGTACTAATTTTCCAACGTTATGAATTTCCAAAATTTTGAATAACTTTCCAAACCTGACCTTCCATAATGATGAATAGTATTAATTTTTCGAGGTATAAATTTCGAATAACTTTCCCACCTGACCTTGTCTGACATAATGAAGAATATTTAGTACTAATTTTACCACGCTGTGAATTTCCAGGTTCAAATTTCGAATAATTTTGTAACCCTTGACCTTCCCATACGTAATAAAACTCAGAGTGCAACCTTATTTAGCCCGAGTCAGGTTGTTATTGATATTTGAGGTGAGTACCACCAATCGCCATACCATTGCAACTTTTCTAGTTTCGACAGATTTGCTGCTCGAAAAACTCAATTCCTAAGTTTGCATGTTCTATGTAACTCCAAAATTTCAAATTGATTCGATAAGTTTTACGAGCGATAATCGGTTAACAGACAGACGGACAGCCATGACGGGTAGATAAGCCCTTGGTCGGGCTAAATACACCTTTTTTCACACATCCCCCAACTTAATTCCTAATTTTGCGTGTTCTACGTAGCTCCAAAATTTCAAGTGGATTTGATAAATTTTACGAGCGTAATGGATAGACAGACGGGCGGACAGACAACCATGCCGAGTACATAAGCCCTGACTCGGGCTAATAAATAGTACTAATTTCCCCACCCCACGAATTTCCAGGTACAAATTTCCTCATAACTTTCCAATCTGACCTTACTTCTCATAATGAAGAAATGTACTAATTTTCCAAAGCCTCGAATTGGAAAGTCGCCTCCATATAAATTTGTATATTCTTGATTGCACAGGTAGTAAAATATGGGAAAAAACTGGACCTACATCTGTCAACAGGCCGGTGGAGAAAGGAAATATTTAATTCATAGCGACGTGTCATCAACACAACACGCGATTCAAATTCAAACTACACATTTCTGAGGCGACGAGTCCAGTCTGTCAGGGTAATAAATTCTTCAATCTTACAACACTAGGCACGCTATTTACTGGTTTTCTTGTGTATGTACATATGTATCGAGTATTTGAACAGGTATGAAAATAAGGCAAGAAATTCATTGTTTTTCACGCGGGTTGCAATAATTTTCATGTTTTTTTAAACCAACCTTCATTGGTCATAAATACACTTTTTCGAATTTTATAATTCACACTAAAATTCGAAATGAAACGATTCCAACTTTTTTTTAATTCAAAGTTGCGGTTGGAAAAGAATTAAATTCTCGTCATAGAAGATGGAAATTCGAGAAAATTTAAAAATCTGGTGGATTTTGAGTCATGAACAAAAAAAATCCTCATTTTTTAATTTTTTCGAATTTTTTAACTCTAAAAGTTAAGCAAGTATACGTATTTCTATAAAAGCAATTAAAGTTCTAACAGTTACAAAATTATAAATTCTCGGGCATCATCAAAATTCAGGAATTTGAAGAAAGTTCATCATTTTTTTCGTTAAAAGCATAAAATGAAATCTATTTACATACATCTGAATTTTCCAGTTGAAATTCTAACATTTTAAGAAATTCAAAAATCCATTGCGTCAAATTGATTCGATTTGAAATCTGAATTTTCCAGGTGAAATTAAGAAATTTTAAGAAATTGAAAAATCCTTTAGCATAAAACTTCACTCTATTTCCACCCGAAATCTAAATTTTCCCCGTAAACACACTCATCATTACACTAAATAAGTCTATTTAGCCTCCAAATTATGGCAAAGGTGAAAGTAATTTAGTCTTCTGTGACACATTAGACCCAAAATTAGAATAGACACATCACTAATTGACAATGTTTAAGCATTTGCCTTACCTCAAAGTGGGGCAGAAGCTTTGGGAGCTGGTTACATAGATATTCTGCTGCTTTCACGACACGTGTATACTTTTGCTACGGAGTATTTTCATGTATTTTCGACTAACTGCGTAGGCAGGATGTTGACTCAATTATTAAATTAAATTAGACCTGTCACTCGCATAATTAAAGTGACAATGCGACAAGTATTTAGGATTAATTATTCGGTAAATACGTAAATTTCTGTACTTTTGGCAGGAGCTTTCACTTCACAAAATCCAACACTATTTATCACATAACTAGTTCGTGGAAAATTTTGGGTGAAAATGTTTCGTAAAGTTTCCAGTTTTTTTGGGTGAATTTTTAAAAAATATTTCAGGTGATCCACTAATCACAAAATTCAACAGTATTTACCTCAAGAAATTTTTGGTGGAAAATTATGTCCCGTAAAGTTTTTTAGTTTCCAGTTTTTTCACGATTAAAAAAAACTATTTCAGTTAATCCACTAATCACAAAATCCAACACAATTATCACAAGAAATTTTCCCGTAAAGTTTTTTGGTTTCTGATTTTTTATTTCGATATATTTTCGATACTAGATATTTCAGTTGATCCACTGGTGAAGATGAGGTGGACACTTCTGCAGCATAAATTTGAGTTCTGAAAAAAAAATTTAAAATACATTAAAATTTGCAAAAATATTCTTAACAATGTTTACTTTTTCATGAAAATGAATCCGAAATAGTTTATGAATTTGTAAAATTCCTTGCATAACTTATAATATAAGTATAATATAAGTATAATATAACGATATTATCGTTCCCTTTTTTCATATGATCCTATTACTTTTTTCATCTCTTTAAAACGACGATGGATCACAATCAAAATCAATGTCCAGTTCTTTTATGAAAATGAATTAGAAATGCCTTATGAATTTCCAAAATTTCTTTTATAAATCGTGTTTTCCACTTTTTTTTATATAGATATTTATGATCCGATTATTTAACCTCTTTAAAGCGACGATGGATCAAAACACAACATAAAAAAGGATCAAAGTGGATAGATTTCATATTTACTCTTTGAAATTCTCATAAAAAAAACAGTAAAATTTGCAATATTTTTTACCAATGTCCAGTTTCCTTTCAAATATTTATCTCCTATGAAAATGAACTACAAAGATTTTATGGATTAACACCCTTCCTTTTATCACTCGTGTCTCCCCCTTATTTTCATATCTATGATCCGATTATGGTTTTCACCTCTTTAAAATGACAACTGTTAAAAAACCATACACCAAAGGATCAAAAGTGGATGAATTTCGTCTAAATTTCATATTTGCTCCTTAAAATTCTCGTAAAAAAGAGTAAAATTTGCAATATTTTTTAACAATGTCCAGTTTCTTTTTAAATATGTATTTCCATCGTGTGAAAATGAACCACAAAGATTTTATGGACTTACAACCTTCCTTTTATAACTCGTGTCTCCCCCTTATTTTCATATGATCCGATTATTTTTTTTCACCTCTTTAAAGCGACGACGGATCAAAAAACTACACACAAAAGGATCAAAAGTGGATCGATTTCGTCTCAATTTCATATCTACTCTTCGAAATAGACATATGATAAGACACGCATAAGCTATCCACAAAACCATGCTACATAGAAAATGTACACGTGTCATAATATAATGCTGTTTAGAATTAAATTCTTATAAAAAATGTTGAACATTACTGAATTTTGGAGTTATAATGTAACCTTTTTTTCAAGCTACACCAAAATTTTGTAGCGAGTTATATCAAAAAATCAAGCCAAAAATTAGGAATCACGTGGCACCTATCATTCCTTTGAATGTCCCCTTTGAAGACAAATATTGGCGATAAGGTTCAATTTTTAAGTAAATTTTATCTCCACGAGGCGAAAACCAAGGCACTCGTGGGTACTTTGACCCTCAATATTTTTCGTTAAAGGGACCATTCAACGGAATGATAAGTGCCATGTGACTCCTACTTTTTGACTCGATTTTTTGATATAACTCGTCACACTTACACAATCCCGGTGTAGCTTGAAAAAGGCTCCATTGTTAGCCTTGATTTATGTATGTAAAATTGAGAAGTTAGCATTTTATATTGTTTTTCTTCCTGTAATTTCTTTTTAATAATTGTCAAGATGCATTATTTGCAGTAAAAGTATATAAAATTTTAATATATTAAAGTTACCCGAAATTTACTACTGAACTTCGAAAATCTCTCGCACAAAATGAAGCAATAAAGTTCTCACGGTTTAGCGCCGTTTCATATTTTTTGCATAATCCATAACCGAATAAATTTTGTTAGATGAAGCGCTGAGAAGCGATGATGAGTACTATTTTTATAGCTCACCCTGCGTAGCATGAGAGCTATTGAATTCCTCTTGTCCGTCCGTCTGTCCGTCCGTCCGTCTGTCTGTTGACGAGTTTTTTGCATCAATTGATGCGAATTAATAAGTCCCTGCTCCATTATTACCGGTCTGAGGAGCACCATATGTAGCAAACAATCCGTACGCAAATGGTGCAAGTTAATTCAGCAAATAGATCGAGATAGGACTATAATTTTGGAATAAGTAACACCGTTAGTACCGAGCAATTGGTTATTAAAAATGATGCGTATCAATTGTGCCATCTATTTCCCCCAAAAATTAATGATGCGTAACAATTGGGCCATCTATTTCCCCCCAAAATCATGTCAGATTTCAGTTCTATTTATTCCATTATTCTCCACCATTGACGCTAAAATATACAAATTTTATAGTAAATAATTGGAGAAGGGATGCCCTACGCACCAATGGTGCAGAATGTCGGGAGGAAAAAGCTTTTATTAGCTCACCCTGCGTAGCACAGGAGCTATTGAATTCCTCTTGTCCGTCCGTCCGTCTGTATGTTAACGACCTTTTTGCATCAATTGATGCTAATTAAAATGTCCCTGGTCCATTTTTTCATAAATTAATAGCACCGTTGGTATCTGACAATCGGAAACACCAAATGATGCGAAAGAATTGGGGGCTTTGATGCATAACGCACCAATAATGCATACTACTCGGCGGATTTTATTAGACAATTTTGACCTAAATTTTTCGAAATTATCGTTGAACGTTGGTAGGTAATTCTGCACCAGTGATGCACAATTTTTGGACTTTCCTCGATGCATAATAATAATTGATCTATTTTGTTTAATAGCGCTGTACCATTGGTGCAATATTGATAAACATTATTGATCTACTTTGTTGGATTTTTCTGCACCATTGGTGCAATATTGATAAACATTATTGATTTACTTTGTTGGATTTTTCAGCACCATTGGTGCATAATTGCATAAATATTATGTATCTATTTTGTTGCATTTTTCTGCACCTTTGGGACAAGTTAAAACCAAATCATTATCACAGGGTGAGCTATATCTAACGTTACTACGGTTTATTATCGGTTCGCCCTGCGTAGCACGAGAGCTATTGAATTCCTCGTGTCCGTCCGTCCGTCCGTCTGTCCGTCCGTCCGTCCGTCTGTCCGTCCGTCCGTCCGTCTGTCCGTCCGTCCGTCTGTCTGTTGACGAGTTTTTTGCATTAATTGATGCATATTAATAACTCCCTGCTCCATTTTTTCATAAATTAATAGCACCGTTGGTATCTGACAATCGGAAACACCAAATGATGCGAAAGAATTGGGGGCTTTGATGCATAACGCACCAATAATGCATACTACTCGGTGGATTTTATTAGACAATTTTGACATAAATTTTTCAAAATTAGCGTTGATCGTTGGTAGGTAATTCTGCACCAGTGATGCACAATTTTTGGACTTTCCTCGATGCATAATAATTATTGAGCTATATTGTTTAATTTTTCTGCACCATTGGTGCAATATTGATAAACATTATTGATCTACTTTGTTGGATTTTTCTGCACCATTGGTGCATAATTGCAAAAAAATTATGTATCTATTTTGTTGCGTTTTTCTGCACCTTTGGGGCAAGTATAACCAAATCATTATTACAGGGTGAGCTACTTCTAACGTTACTACGGTTTATTTTCTAATAAATAAAATTTATTAAAATATTTTCTTAATAATCGATTGCATAATTTATTTTAAAATTCGGTTCAAATTTGTTTTCTTTTATATTTGGAACAATAAAGTTAGAAAATTTTTATTAAAATTTAGTTTAAATTTACTTATTTATTTGAAATAAGGTTAGAGAATTTTCATAAAATAAAAAAAAATGTGGGAATTTGCTACTGAATCTCGGATATCGTTTGCACTACGAACTTTTGCAAAAAAAATTGTCACGGTTTAGCGCCGTTCCATATTTTTAGCGTAATCTATTATAACATAAATTGTGTTAGATGAACACTGTGTACTGTTGAACACGTGTTAATCAATTTTATATTTCGTTTGCAATTAAAAAATTTAAGAAATCATAATTTTATAAAATTAGTAATAGTTGTTATAATGAATAATCAGCCAATTTCATTATTTATGTTAAAATTCGGTTTACATTTACTTCTTTTTATTTTACTTCTGATATCTTTATCATACATGCAAAAATGAAAATAAATGCCCTGGAAAAATAAGTTTCTGAAATTTTTGATTATTTTTTTGAGGAAATTTTGTCCTTTTCCGTGGAACGTGGGAATTTTCCGGGATTTTCCAAGAAAAAAGTCAGAAATTCAACCAACTATGTCAATTGCCAACATAAAAACATCAGAAATCTGGTCCCCAACTTTCCTAGAATTTAACCCCATAAAATTTTCTCATTTCTCGTTTAAAACTACTCAGCATCATGTTCCGTTCAACTTTTAGTTTCCGAAAATTTTGTCAAGTTCAACTTTCCATGCACATCAAAATTTATTTGCCACCACAATTTAGCCTGGCTTAACGCCATAATACGTGTAATATAACGCGAAATAATGCATGGAAGACAATACTGGTGCGGATAAATGTGTCCCTGTCAGTCCTGCGGCTTGGCTTAATCTCTCCCTCCTTCTGTCACTGTCACCAACCAAACGTTACACCAAACCAAACAGGGATGGGCAGAATACTGGGTAAAAATACAGCATTTTGTGCTCGGTTTTTCCCAGGGTTTGTATTTCCAAGGATATTACACCCATAAAAAGACGAAAATCCACGTGGAGAAGGCAAAAGTCGTACGAAAATACAGGTTTTCTGAAGAAATTATAACTTTTAATCGTAGTAAAAGTACTTTATTTTTAAAAAATCGTGAAAATAAAGTATTTTGTCAGCGAGAAAAAGTTAATTTCTTTAAAAAACTTGTATTTTCGACGGAATGTTGCCTTCTCCACTTACAATGCGATGGTGTGAAGTGTAACCCTCCGATTTGGCTGAAATTTTAAAATTAGGTGGTCCAAGCCAATACAACTAACGTTTCTTCAGGCAGTTTGTGCGATGGTGAGAGTTACTCAAAATATTTGAGGTCAAAGTTCAAAAAACGGCCGACTTTTTTCAGGCGGAGTGAGAAAACTCCACTTCCATTCTCTTCCCCTCGCTTTGATTTTATTCAGGCGTCTCGCTCATGCATACGCCTTCATGCTCAAGCACAAGCTTTGATGCAAAATAATAAAAAATAAACATTATTAATTATAGCTTAAAGAGCAATTAATACGCATTATACATAC